GACGGCCATGCTGCAATCCCTTCTCCTCCATTCTTCTCTTGGGATCTTGGGCACGCACGCACACGTGCCCAGTGTGAGTTTAAGCCACCAGGTCCGGGACTCAAACCGCAGTCGACCACGTGGGAGTCCAGCGACATAGCCATTACACTGACTGCTGGTCCCCACAACACAGTTTTTATATTTTACTTTTTAAAGATTTTTTTTTCTTTTTGGGTTGTTTTTGTCTAGTTATTTTTTTTCTTTTCCTTGTTCTTTTATTATTATTATTTTTAACCTTACTTTCCCACTCTGCTCTTTAGTGTCCACACACTGAATGTCTAGACAGGCCTAGGTGCACGATTAGCCAAGCAACTGAATACTTTTAGGGTCATTGAAATCCTCAACAATTATTGAACATCCTGCTTTAAGGAAGAAACTTCTTTTAATAAATCTGAACTCAGTCTCTTTCTGTGGATACCACAATGCAAACAAAACACATCAGAGGAGAGATTTTTGTCATAGAATGACCAGAAACTACCACAGACGCACAAAAAATATGAGAAGTCAAGAAAAATATCTCTCCCCTAAGTGAAAAGGACAATCCTTTATCATCCACAGACAGTAGAGTGGAACTTGTGGAAATGTCTGATAGAGAATTCAGAGTATTCATAGTGACAACACTAATCAAGATGCAAGAGCTGAGAGATAATAAACCCAGAAGATGCAGGAGAAAAGAGACAACAAGTTCCAGGAGGTGAGGAAGTTCTTGCATGATCTGAAAGAGGAAAAACACACCATAAAAAAAGAATCAAATGTAGCTGTTAGAGACGAAGGCTGAAACGCAGGAAAGCAAAACCTCCCTTGAAAGTATTAAAAGCAGATTAGTTCATGAAGAAGATCAAAACTCGAATGTCAAAGGCAAAACCTATGACCTAGAAAAAACAACCAAAAATACTGAGAAAATAACCAAAAAAAAGTGAGAATACTATATGAGAAATACTAGATGCCATTAAGTGTCCAAACATCTGAATAATTGGTATCCCAGAAGGTGAAGAAATTAATAAGGCTATTGATCATTTATTTCATGAAATCCTGGAAGAAAATTTTCCAAATCTAGAGAGAAATTCATATATCCAGAACCAAGAGATACCAAAGACCACACATAGTATCAACCCAAGAAAATCTTCTCCAAGGCACATCGTAGCCAGATTGGCAAGATCCACAGAGAAAGACAAGATACTAAAATTGGCAAGAAAGAAATGTCAGGTTACTTACAAAGGTCCTATCAGGCTAACATTGGACCGCTCATCAGAAATAATGTAAGCAAGGAAAGAATGAGAAGATACATTCAAAATGTTAAGTGAAAAAGTTCCAACCAAGAACACTACTCCTGGCAAGATTATCCTTCATATAGGAAGAAAAGATAAAAAAAAATCTTAAATAAACAAAACCTGAAAAAATTTACCAACACCGGACCAGCTCTTCAAGAAGTTCTAAAAGAAGTGCTTTACCAGTAAAAAACTAAAGACATACATAAAGAAATAAGAGAGCAAAAAGCAACCAAGAAAATGACCAACTTAATGCTAGAGATGAGAAATATCAATCATAACATTGAATGTTAACTTCTAGGATTTAAACGAAAAGATCAGACCACAGTAACACCGCAAATTCAACAGAAGATTAATTACCTAAGACTGAACCGGTGAAATAGAATTTTATGACTTTTGAGTAAAACATTACTGTCTTTTTCTTTACTATGCATCATTTCCCAATTTAAGAATTTTGCTTTCTTTTGAGCTGTTGATAGTTTCAGCAATTTGTTAAAATGTTTTTCCATAAACTTTTCTCTCTTCCTGATCCCTCTGGGATTGGAAAATATTTGGGAGTATTCTTATTTTGTGGCAAAATGGTTATTTGGATAAGTTCAGTAATACCTGTTGCCTTGACTCAGAAATTGGAAATACTCATTATTAGACAGGGCTTTGACTGAGATGTCATATCTGAAGATTAAACCAGAAAACTATGGAACTAAGGTGGATCTCAAGTAAGCCAATAGAAGCTCTTGGAAAGATGGCCTGGCCCCATAAACAGTTCTGCCTGGCAGAGGGGATTAGAGAAACTATATGAAATAATTTGTACCATAAAATAACCTAGACTTTTTCATCCCAGCATTGTAATCAGTAGAGATTGCAAAAGAGCAGCCACAACCAGAGGATTATCTTGAGGATGACTTTGAAGGAAGAAAAAGAGACTGATCTTTGCTACCAGATGGTATATCACACAATTTTTGGTAGGCAGGGCTGAATTGAGAAGGTTAATGTGTGAATCGTGTGGTGAATGTTTGTTTTTCAACAGTTTGAGTAGTCGACATGTAAATATTTTCTCAAAAATATTTTTAAAACATACTGTCTCTGTTGTTATAGTCACAAAATTATAACAAATATTTCAAACATTTTCTTTTTTTATTTTGAGAAATGTTTGCTATAATGCACGTGGACCCACCAGAAAGACAGAGAGAGACAAAGTGAGAAATCACCCCCCAGGGGGAATGGCCACACTGCAATCCCTTCTCCATTCTCCTCTCAGGATCTTGGGTATGCGGACACACGCTCCTGGTGTGAGTTTAAGCCACTGGGTCAGGATATGAACTGCGGTAGACTACCTGGGAGTCCAGTGACATAGCCATTACGCCAACTACTGGTCCCTCAAACATTTTCTTTAAAATTCAGTTTTTTTGAAATTTTGAAAGTTTTTTATTAACTGTCAAGAACTATAAAGTATGAGCAAAAATTTTTTGCTATGTAAACGTTTGTAGGAAAATGTAAAAATAAATAAATAAATGAAGAAATCTGTGTTTGTTCAGGATAAAGAAAGGTGCAATAAGAGAAACTGTACTAAGTAAAAGGTATATCTCCTATTTTTGTAAATACATCTCTTGACTGACAAGAAAAGGTTTGGTTTTGTTTTTGTTTTAATAGCCTCATATTGGGGCCAGCAAGTGGTGTGGTGGTTAAGGTGTTGGAATTCCCACATGGCCAACCACAGTTCCAGTCCCGGACCTGGCGACTTCTCTCTCTCTCTCTCTTTCTCTCTGTCTTTCTCTGGCAAAGCTCATGTGAAAAATAATAATAAATAAAGTTAAATAAAAAAAGAATAGCCTCATATTAATAGTACAAAGCCAAATAATAAGGTGTATTTGATATCATAAAATGCAGCAGGAGTCTAGAAGGAAAGAAAAAGATAGGCTAATTTGACTGGTGTAAATCAGAAGACTTCACAGAAGAGGTGGAGCTGAGCTGAGGCTGCAGGAAGGCGGCACTGACTAGTTAAGATGC